TGCGACCGCCTGTCCCTTCCCCCCTGCCTTCCCTCGTCCGCCACCGCAACCTGCCTTCTTATTCTCCCTCTGTCTCTGTCTGTCTCTGGTCAAACTGAATAATAATAAATTAATTAAATAATTCTTTTTTTAAAAAAATGTAAAACTGGGGCCAGCAGATGGCGTGGTGGTTAAGGCACTGGAATTCCATGTGGTTGACCACAGTTCGAGTTTCAGACCTGGGAGCTTAAAAATCATACTGGGTCTCCAAAAACAAAAAAAAGAAAAAAAAAAAAAAGAATGGGACCAGCAGCTGGCGTACTGGCTATGTCGCTAGACTCCCATGTAGTCGACCACAGTTCAAGTTCTGGACCTGGTGGATTAAACTCACGCTGGGCATGTGTGTGTGCGTGCCCAAGATCCTAAGAGGAGAATGGAGGAGAAGGGAGGTGATTTCTCACTTTCTGTTTCTCTCTGTCTTTCTGGGGAGCATGTTCGCCCTATAGCATAAACCTCTCTCACACACACATACTTTGGGCACATATGTGTATGTGCCCAAAATCCCAAGAGGAAAATGGAAAAGGGACTGTGGCATGGCTTTCTCCCCTGGGGGGTGATTTCTTACTTTCCCTCACAGTTTGTTTATCTCCAGCAAGTGCACATGCTCTATGACAAAAAACTAACAACAACAACAACAAAATGAAACTGTAAAAAGCATTATACTCAGAGCCAGCAGGTGATGTGGTGGTTAGGGCAATGGATTCCCACATGGCCAACAGTGGTTGAGTCCCAGATCTGGTGGCTTGCTTTTTCTCTCTCTCCCCCGCCTCTAGTCAAACTGAAATAAATAAATAAATGTTAAATGAAGTAATTCATTAAAAAGAAAAAGCATTTATAATTGAGCATTTGACACTCGATAAAAATTTACAGCAAATATTATATTCTAAACTACTTATAGAAACAGAAGGGATTTATTTTAAAATAACCCAACAAGGGGCTACCCCATATCCTAGTGGTTAAGGGACTTGGATCCCATATGTCACCAACTGCAGTTCAAGTCCTGGTCCTCTGACTCAAAATCACACTGAGCACATGTGCACACATGCCCCAAATCCTGACAGGATGCAGAAATGGAGAGGGGACTTCAGGGTGACTGTGTCATACTGGAGCATGCTTTCTCCCTCTCTCTCTCTGTCCTCTCTGTGGCAAATGCATGCACACACTAGCAATTAAAAATAAGACACAGGAGCTGTCTCCATGGCCTGGTAGGTAAGGTATAGTTGGATCTCACATGGCAGACCTCACCATGTGAGCTCCAGATCTGATAACATGAGAGATATATCAAGCACATTTGGGTGTGTGTGCCCAAACTCCCAAAGGGATAGAGAAATGGAGAAGGGACTGGAGGAGTTTGACTATTCTCCATGACGGAGTGTTTTCATTTGTCCCCCTGTCCCCCACTAACTCTGTCTTTCTGGCAAGCATAAGCACCTTCTAGTAAAGAAAGAAAAAAAAAGCAAGCAAGCAAGCAATGGAACAAGGCAAGTACTGTGTAGTATAGTGTATCTGAAAATTTCCTTAAGAAATGTTTTTGGGGACCAGCAGGTGGCGTGGTGGCTAAGGTGCTGGACACTCCCACATGGCCGACCACAGTTCGATTCCTGGACCTCGTGGCTTGCATTCTCACTTTCTCTCTGTCTTTCTTGGGTCAAATTTAAATAAATGAATGAATAAATAAAATTAAATAAATAATTCTTTAAAAAAAAAAGTAAAGAAATGTTTTCAAAAGATTTTAAACAATGGTGAATACATAATTATATCTAATGATATGCAAAAACTAGTCAAAAAATCTCAAAAAGTGCTATAGTATTTAAACTATATGAAGTTTATAGTCTAAATTTTACATCAAGAATTTCAATTCTGGGGAAACAGGCGGCATGGTAGTTAAGGTGCTGGACTTCCACATGGCCATATCGCAGTTCAAGTCACAGTCCTGACAGCTTGAAAATCACATGGACCGTGTGCATGCATGCCAAAAATCCCGATAGGAGAATGGAAAAGAGACTGGAATGACCATTCCCCTGGGGGATGATTTCTCACTTTCCTCAAGCATATGCACCCTATGGCAAAATATCTTTTTTTTTTTTTCTATTCTAGTCCTTTGTTTAACAAAATTACTTCTTTTATTGTTTAATTGGCAGAGGGTGCATGCACTTACCAGAGATGAGAGAGAAAAACCATCCCCCCCCCATAGGGCATGGTCAGGCTAAAATCCTATCTCCTCCATTTCTCTACCTTGTCAAAATTTTTGACATGCACACACAAGTGCCCAATGTGTATCTCAAGTCACTGGAACAGAGATTTGAACCGTGGCCAGCCATGTGGATCTGGCTCTCTATGCAGTATCTCACTGCTTGCTCATCTTATCTCCAGGTTCTATTATAAAATTTCAAACAGCTTTAGAAATGATTACTGAACATGAATCAAAACTGAAAAATACAACTTTAATACAAGTTTAACTTAGAGAAAAGCAGCCTTATAGCAACATCAAGAGTAATAATAAAAAATATAAAGAGATTGTTTTAACAAATGCAAACTACTTAACCATCCTACCTCACTATTTCTGGTTTTTAATACCTTATTAATACCCATTTCCCTCTCCTTTGAATGTTTCCAAGTTCCTTAAGTTACAGAATCTCATCCTATGCTTTCCTCACTTTTCCATGTTCTTTCTGAACAAAATTATTTGCTCAATCTGATTCCAAATAAAACTTAAATTTCCAATCCCTGCCTGACTCTGGGCCTTTCCTGTCTTATAAAACTTCTTCAACTGGGTTTTATAAAATCCTATGTAAGTTCAAAACTGCTCTTAAATTATCCCCTATCCCATCAAGTAGCAGCATTCGTCAGTTGCTTAAACAAAAATTTAGATTACCTTTGATAATTTTTTCCTTCAATCAAACCTAATTGGTAACCAAGTCTACCCAATTTTATCTTCTAAATACTATAAATAACCAAATATAAAATAATCTTATATTTTCCCTTGATAAGAAGAACCATATACCCTGAATATTTTGACTCAAATAAATGTATTAACTTGGTTATTAAAAAACACAAAATGTCAATAAAAATACAAATAAATGGTTAAGAAAAGAATTAATATAATCCCTTAAGGAGTATGTACTGTTTTTCATGCCACAGTTTGTGAATTCTTTTTTTAAAAGAAGTATTTAATTTTATTTATTATTATTATTATTATTTTAAAATTTGTTATAGGGTACATGTGCTCACAAAAGACAGAAAGAGAGGGAAAGTGAGAAAGGAAGCCACCAGGTCTGGATGTGAACCGTGGTCAGCCATGTGAGAGTCCAGCACCTCAGTCACCATACATGTCGGTTATATGTCCGTGCATGCTCCAAATCCCAAGAATGTTAAAGGGAGTGTAGCATAGCGATCCCCCCTAGGGGGTGCTTTCTCACTTTACTTTTCCCCTTTTCTCTCTGTTTTTCTCAGGTGAAAGCATGTGCCTTATATATAGCAAATTTAAAACAAAACAAAACAAAAAACATAAAAAGCTTTTCCCATTCTGTAATTGTCTATCCATTTTCTTCCTCTTTTTAAGAATTACCTACTTAATTTTATTTATTTATTTTAAAATTTGCTATAGGACATGTGTGCTCACAGAAAGAGACAAAGTGAGAGAAAATGGG